TTTTTAAAAAAAAAAAAAAAAAAAAAAAAAAAAAAAACATTTTAGTTGAAATTAATAATAATAACAAAAAAAAAAAAAAATAATAATAATAAAACCGAACCGACTACAAATATCAACGTATGGCAATAATAGAATTTTTTCTTTTAAATTTATTTTATCTTATTGTTCTCTACTACTACTATTACTACTACTACTACTACTACCACTACTACTACTACTACTACTACTACTACTACTACTACTACTACCACCACCACCACCACCACCAACTACTACTACTACTACCACTCTACTTCTTCTATTAATATATATAAACGAAAAAAAAAAATAAAAAAAAATATCTACTACTTATCTAAACTACTGCCTATACCACCACCTAAACTGACTGAATATAAATTTAATAATTTTTTTTTAAATTTTCAAAAAACCAAAACAAAAAAAAACGATCTATCAATGTAATACTAAAAAACTTTACTGCTGTTACTCCAACTGCTACTACTGTTACTATTATTACTACTACTACTACTACTACTACTACTACTACTACTGCTATTACTGCTATTATTATTACAACAATCACCACTGTACCAAAAAAACAAATCAACCAATAAACCAACCACTTTTACAACAATTACTACTGCTACTGCTACTACTACACGTACTTTATTGACCGTTGTTGATGTAAAAAAGGCGAAATCATCTACAGAGTGGAATTGCCAGATATGGAGCAGATAACTCTTATCTACCTGGAGAATAACGATGCTGACTATCGTAAGTCGAGCAACTAAAAAAAAAAAAAAAAAAAAAAAATAATAATAATAATAAAGAAACAACTAAAAAAACAAAAAAAATCAAATTTAAAAGAATCTGCATAAACTAAATAAAGCCAAAAATGTCTTATTAAACAAGAAGTGTTAAGAACAATTTATAAGTCCACACGTACACCCCTAACCTGCCCATACACATTCACACATTCACACACACACATACACACATACAAATACACATACCTACACTTACCTAATAATAATGTAACTAAAACTATTTTCAAAAAAAGAAAAAAGATTGAAAATCTATTAAAATATTGATGTTCTTATCAAAAAGTCAAACTTCTTGTTTTATTTTCTTTATAACAATAAATTTTTAATTATTATTTAATATATCAGTTTATTTATTTCTCTCAACCAATTCAATTAACTCACCACCACCACCACCACCACCGCTACCACCGTAATCATATAAATCAGCTTAAAAAAAAAAAAATAAAAAAAAATAAAAAAAAAATAATAATAATAACAATGATAATAATGAATAATGAATAATAAATAATAATAATGATGAAAATAATTCGAATCTCTCGCCATCTATTACTTGTCATGCATTTGATTTATCCGGTGTTGTCCACAATCATAATAAAAAAGAAATTTGCGATCCACCAAAAGTCTTTGCTACCGCATACATCTACTTTACTACATATGTACTTACTTTTACATACTTAAATACATACTTACATACATACATACCTAAATACCTAGATACCTACCTACCAACCTACCTACATACATACATACATACATACATACATACATACATACATACATATATACATAAATACCTATACCTATATACATACTATATCAACTACTATTAAATAATCATCATATTGGTAATAGTTTCTTCACATGTAGTGGTTACAATAAATAGATTTTGTTCTATTAGTTGTTTTGATTGAGTTCCTGTTTTTGTTGATAGCTCTTCCTGATAACCTTTCTTAGTTTTATTGTTAAATAGATCTTCTTCCTTTTTTTTGTTTTTTTTTTTTTCTGAAATTTTACCCCTGTTTTTACCCATTAATTATTGTTATGCTTATTGAATTTTTACTGTCACCACCGAACGATGAAAATGTTAACACATTTTCATTCATTTTTTTTTTTTTTTTTTTATTAGCTATAGATATATACATATATATAGATATATGTATGGTATATAAAATTGATACACATAATGGTGTGTGCGTCTCTTCGTTCGTTTATCGCTTTTGCCGGAATCTTGAGTACAGCCAAAAATTCAGTTGAAAAAATCTTAAATAGTTTTTATTATTGAAGCTTGAAATAGATTGAACCCGCTTGCTACTGACGACGCTTAATCTTTTAAGATTAATTTTAAGATTAATTAATTAATTCATTCATTTTTCATTGCAAGTGTGATAATAAATGTTTCAAACACAAACAAATAAGAAGATTATATTTGGGCGCGGCCGGCATTTGGATGCCCTACCACGCTCCGCCATATTAGATGACGTCCAATGTGAAATTTTATTATCCTCCATTTCCGTTCTAAAAAAAGATAGATATTCAACTTTCTCTCCATTTAAGGGGTTGTCTTTCGTGACAGCCCCTATATATGTCAGAGTCTAAAAAATTAATCTTTGTGATCCGAAATTTCTATCATTTGTTTTATTGCAAAATAGCTGCTACTATGGATCAATTTTCATCCTAAATTATTAAAAATGAAATCTTTTTCTGAAGGGCTCATACTACTTATAAGAAATCTTATACAGAGCGCGGTTTAAGAAATAGACCCATGTGTTTCGACTTAATTTTTATGTCAAAATACTATCACAAACAAATATTCATGATAAAATATTATCTTTATATTTCTTGAGAATCCTTAGATGCGGCTGTATTCAAAAAATAGACCTGCATGGTCCGAATTCGCTAAGGCTGATTTTTTTGTCAATTTACTATTATAAATCAATTTTCAGAATGAAATATGGAAAATTAGACCTTTTCGCCTTACCATATAAAGATTCACTTTTCGTAGAAACATTTATGTGAGAGGTATTTCAAAAAGCTGTTCCAACTAAACCAATTTTTTTATATCATTTTAAAACGCTGAAATACTTTCGCTCAGCGACTTTTGTCGAAAAATTTTGGAAATTGGAAATTTTTTTTTTTCATATAACGACTTTTCAAAATGAGGCGTTATATGGTGAGTGGTCGAAAAACTGGATCAATCGAAATCATTTTCAATAACGTTCGCCGTAGATCAATGCACGTCAGTGTATTATCAAAATTTCGCAAAAATTGCCGTCTATAGGTTGAACACAAACATGCATGGTCTTATATCAGACGGACAGACGGAGAGACAAGCTTAGATCGCTTCAAAAAATGATTCTGAATTGCTCGGTATAATAAAAGGTGGGTATCTATTAAGTCCTTCTAGATGTTATATACATTCGCCAAAATTTAATAAACCGTGTAGTATAAGTGGTGTAGTGTACAATTAAGCATGCATGCTATACACAGAAGGACTCACGATAGACCCGCATTCTAAGCTTGTCTGTCCATCTATCCATTTATTTTGCAGGCTACTATTTTTGCAATATTTTGATGAAATTTAGTGCATTGATGTGCTTCGTTTTCGGGACGAACTCTGTTGAAAATGGTTCGGATCAGACCGTTTTTTTGACCACTTCCTATGTAACGCCTCATTTTGAAACGCCAATGTATCATCAATAATTATAGCGTGGTATAGGGTATTTAATGAATGATCGAGACGCATTATAGTGCTTTTACTCTTCATCGTTCTTTATATTAGACTTTCTTTCATTTATGTATTTTGCTTTGAATACCTGTTCTAAGATTATTTATCGAAGAATTACGCGTATGGATCAATGGATCGACTTGGCAGATTTTCAAAGTTCCATCTAAAGGAAACGTTCACTTTGAACTATAATCGATGAAATTTGGTATCGAGCTTTCTCTTACACTTCTAAATTTCGATCCCGCTGCTGATGTATAAACGTATTGGCGAGATAATGCGCCACACACAGGTAGACATGTAGAGCAAAATTCGTTCGACTTATTATTATATACGAATTATACGTAGGTAAAGTAAATACATGCATATACACAAGCACAAACATACAAACACATACAATACAGCTGCGTATATACATTAGTTCACTTTTAAACTTAATATATATGCGCGATTAGCGTAAGAATTTCAACACATTCTCATCTGCCTATCCATTCGTCCATCCGTTGTTTTTACTGTCGCGAACAATACGATGGATCCAGGCGTCCGTTGTACAGTACGATTAACTCGTACCGGGCTGTGTCGAACCGTGTTTTTCGAATTTCTTTTATTTATTTATTTAAACAACAGTACATAACAATGACTAGTTGACAAATGGGCGGGTGTGCTTTGTTCGCTTAAATGGCTAGACATCTGCAAGAGATATCAATCAATTAGTTCCCGATAAGCTATTAAAAAGACCTCTCAAGTAACAGGTGCACATGAAAAAGGCGCATCGGTTTTGGATGGTGGGTAAACCAATGTAATTTTCTTATTTGAATTTTACGGCTAAACACTTTTTTCTTTCTTCTTTAAGTTTAAAATCCTTTAACTTCTCTATTTCTGTTCTTTTTTTTTTTTTTTTTTCTTTTACTTTCTCTTAAAATTATTTCTTCCTTTATTAAGTTTATTACGTTTTTTTTCTATTTCTTATTCGAATTTAAATTTTTGCCTTCTACTCCAATAGTTACATTAAAGTACCTTACCCTGTTTTTTTTTTCGGCTTTGCTGTAACATTTGAATTTATTTTTTCACTTACCTGAAAATAAATAAATAAAAGCGAAAAATTGGTTCATTAATCCTTTAAATCCCTCCCTTTGGAAAAACTGCTTCATCTGCATTTAAGTGTATGTTCATCCCGCAACTCTGTCTCTTACTGTATGTGCTGTGTTACGATTTTCCCTTTCTAAAGGAAGTTTCTTTCGTAATGGAGTTCTACCGCAAGGAAATTATATTTATTTATTTATTTATTTATTTTTTTTTTTTTTTAGGTTACGCTACACATTAGTAGCAGAAACTTCTTATACTCGTCCTTTTGTCCGCCTTTCGTTTTAAAGTAGGGAGCTAAAGCGTAAGTGAAATTATGGTTGTTGTCGTTCTTTTAAATATTAGACTTAATCAAAATGAAGAAAAGTGAAAGAAAAACTGAAAGAGGAAACATGTAAGAGCCTCTTATATTACTAAAAAAAAAAAAATAATAATAATAATAATTATAATAACAATAATAATAATAATAATAATCTATATACAAAGTTCAGATGTACGCAGGGCAAGTGTTCTAAAGAGCTTAAGGAAATATCTCCATTAATCAAATCCTTTAATAGGATCACTCATTCATCCAAAGGGAAAAGATTACTTTTCATTCAGTAGAAAGGTCGTGACAAATGCCAGATCGCCATTTCCTTCTCACTCATTAAATTAAAACTTCAGAGACTCTCAAGTCGAATGGATGCGATGCAATTAACGATCTATGTGACTAGTCTCAATTACCACTCCCACTATAAAAGAAAAAGAAAAGAGGCAGACGAATGGACGGAAAAATGAATTTCATTGATTTGGTTTCAAATTTTAAGAATATAAATATTTTGAATCCTATTATGCTCTGTTACAATTTTGATGCCATTCATATTTACGTCAATTAAAATTCCTTTTAAATCCACTAATCATAAGTATGCGTTAAGAAAATGAGTAAATTTTTGTTTATAATTCTTACATTTACCTAGGGTAAGAGCTTAGTGTTTCACTTATTACATTTTACAAACTATCAGCAAAGAAGGGTAAAGAAAACGCTGATTGTAAAGCAAACGGTAGTTCGATATACGCTTTCAAATCATTTCATGTTTGACTCTCGCTGTAACAATTCAATGTTATAGTGAAATATAAAAACCGAGAACTGTTCGGGGGCGAAGGATTTTCTAAGGTTATTAGCCAACTATACATCCGACGTAGCGGATATTAACGGCATGTATTGTGAATTGAATTTCTTGTTATACCCAACTGTAACGTTTGCGTTGTACAAGGACATATTAAGTTTGTGCAGATGTATGTAACATCCAAAAGGACTTGAGATAGATTTACCGTTTCTCTTATATTATAATCGTGTGTCCGTCTGTCTATCTGCCCATACGTCTTGCTTTATGGTATTCAATCTGTAGGTCGCAATTTTTTTTAAAATATTTTAATGAAATTTGCTATTTTGCTATCGAAAATTATGCAGATTGGATTACTTTTTCGAGCACTCCCCATATACCGTCTCATTATCGTCATAGTCATCGTTATATGACTAACTGCAAGATGGTATGGGGTATAAAATAATATTAAGGATGATGGCAAGGGGACTATTTATTTCCTTCCTTATATCGTTCAAATGAATAACTGTAGCGTAAAAGCCGCGTCAAAATTCTTGCATATATTGTTGATTTAAAAGCCGATGATAATGATTGTTAAGGCAGAGTTTTGCTCATCGGACCACATTATTAGTTGTAGTGCGCAAACTGGATGCAGTCGAATTGCTCCCCCATCCCTGCTGACCACTACTAGTTTGTGCATTAAATAATTGAAGCGAGTAAGGCGATACCTTCATCATGGAATAATCTTTTTAACCTTTTGCACACGTTAGTATAAATAAGCCTGCTCATCCATGCAGGTTAACCCTCTTAAGTCACTTTATGTATATTATTCTGATTGTTAGGGAATCTTTTTTTGCATCACCTGATTATTGCACTCCGTACTTCTTAAATGTTTATTATGTATGAATGGTTTTCTACTTGTGTATTCAAAATATGAAAATTTGCCTTTTTCTTGTCTCGTGCTTGCCGCCCCCGCCCCCTTCTCCAGTCTTCTCCTATTTTAAATATTGTGCAATGTCGTTCAATCTAATATAATCAAATGATTATTAATTCTGTTCATTTCAAAATTGAAAAAAAAAAAAAAAAAAAAAAAAAAATTAAAAAAAACTTTTTGCCACCTTTTCAATCCATACATGGTCTTAACTCTCAAAACAAAAAAAAAAAAAAGAAAAACAAAAAAAATATTTTATGTATTATACAAATATTTATGTTATTGAAATATTTAATTCTCATCTGAAAAAATATTTATTTCGATTGTTTTCATTTTATTTTCCAACAATTTTAAGCAAATGTAAGTTATCTTTTTAATTAGATGCATATATATACATATACCTATAAATATATATATAATTATATACGTATATGTATATGTATGTTTATATTTTACTTATATTTTTTTTTAATATTAAATTAAAATAATAAAAAAAAATGAAACCACAAAGGCTGAAAAAATTGTAAAGGCTTAACGTTTTAATGTTCTTGTCTTTACTATAAGTTTATTATGCATTCGATTTCATTTGTTTAATTGAATGAATGTAAGATTTGTTCTTTTCGATATAATTTTTCTAGTTTTTCTCTAAAAGATAGACGCAGTCTTTAAGAACTGTTGTTACTGTTGTTGTTATGTTTAATGTGCGTAATTTCTAATAACATTTGTTTATATATATATATATATATATATATATATATATATATAAATATATATATATATAAATATATGTAAATATATTGATACATTCTCGCAGCAATTAATTTTTGCTTTAATATTAATTAAAATAACAAAAATAAACATGTAAAATATTTGTGTTTGTTTTTTGTTATTTTGTTTTGCTTGCAACTTATATGTCTCGCTCACTCTCTCACTCACTCACTCACCCATGCTCACTTAATCGCTCACTCCGTCATCAATTCATAATCTCTTTATATCTGTCTAATAATTACATATCAACCTATATAACATTTTAATACATATATATACATACACGCCTTTATACACATATACAAAAGTAAAGAAAAAACAAGAAAAAAAAAAAAAACTGTAGACTAAATGTCTATTGAAATATATAGAAAATATTTATGTAGAAAATATTTTCGATATCATATACATATATGTATGAAATATATATATATATATATGATATCGAAAAGGTTCATAACGGCGTATTATTGGATGTTTGTACTCAAGCATCCGTTTTATGTGCGCAGTATTTATAATTAATTTTTTCAGTTAATTTTTTATTTAATTTAACTTTTTTGATTTTTTATTGGTGCGACGTCATTACAAAAATATATATATATATATAAGTAAAACCAACGCTTGCATGTCCTGTTGAGTTCCCTTCCATAAACAACAACCATTTGCATTTACATACTTTTTACAGCTTCCGATGAGAATGTTTTATCGTATGAAGCGGTACAAAGGTTATCGATTAATTATACGAGACCAGTTATTATATTGGGGCCCCTTAAGGATCGTATTAACGACGATTTAATATCGGAATATCCCGACAAGTTTGGCTCTTGTGTGCCACGTAAGATGTTTACCTAAAAATTTTATTATATATATTAATATATATTCAATGTATATAGTAACCGGAATTATTCATTTTAAAGATTCGCCTTAGGTACACCGCATGTATTGATTTATCGCACGGATTTCGAGTGAATTATGAAATGATGTAAACAATGGGTTTAATGCTTAACTAAAAATTCGCACGAACAAGCACAGCATTTAACCGTATTAAAGAAGTGATCGCCAATTTTCCCCATACTGGGCAACTTTCGACGGTTGAGCACACTGTGAACACCTGATATGATGTACATATACACAACATTTATTTATTAATAAAGTTTTCGGCCATCATTTGCATGTAGAACAGCTGCAATTCTTCCCTTGACAGCAGTCTGCTAATCACAGTTAATCAGTCTTTCGTCATTGACGATGGGGAGATATTCAATCGCAGTAATCCGATCGGTAATTTGAATGGGGGGACCAGCTGAACGCCCAAATCAAAAAGGCACCTTCTCTCTATGCTTGACTGCAGTAAGCAGGCAGTCCCGTTTGTAAGCTTGTTTTAGAATTCTTCCCAGGTCAACCGGGTCGTTTGTACGAAACAGTGTCAACAATGAATTATCGGATCACACCACATGTTTACAATCGCCATTTGTCCAGGTTTCACCCGCTTTGAAGGAAAACTGCTTTACAATTGCAATCCTTCCACGAATGTTGATTGTTAGCCTTGTGGAGCTCCCAACCGTCACACTTTCCGCGGTTTTCGGTGGTTTTATTTTGTCTGATCACATTCCCACAGATCCTTTTTCATATCCGTCAGTCTCTTTCAGTTAACTTTGTGTCTCACCCACTATTCCTTTTCGCCGATGACTTTCCATCATGTTGCTCAACGTTAAGCAGTTCAGTAGATCGCATATTTCGCCAAATACTCGTCTGAACCACCACAGAACAGAGCGTGCATTACATAGCAAACTTGTCCCGCAAAGTATGCAATACATACGCGCCGCATTATTTACACAGAAGCGGTATTTGCAACATGCTGAATCAGATTTTTGAAATTTGTGCGACACATTGCGAAAGAGTCTAAATTTTCCGGATAACGAGCTCAAGAGTTTTTCGTGCGAAAAAATTGATCAATGTGGTCACACAACCACCGCGCGCCCATAAATTTACTCTTTTTGGCTTTTCGTTCTATTTGAAATTAAAATGATCAGCTATTAAGATGTATTGAATGTATTCACTAAAAATAATTAAGTCGTTTTTCATTTTTATACAAACAAAAAAAAAAAAAAGGAAAAAAAATTAATACGCGGTTATACAAATCGTAAGATATAGAAAAGTTTTTGATTTTTAGATGGAAGCTCGCATAACAATGCCTTTGGGGCTTAAGTTATTTTCTTTGATTAAAAAATTCCGGATATTTTTTGCATTGAGTATATATATACAAATACATGTGTAATAATATACTTTAAACCTAGTTTTACTCTCCTTATTTTTCAGACACCACTCGGCCTAAACGCGAATATGAAATTGACGGGCGCGATTATCATTTTGTGTCGTCACGCGAACAAATGGAACGTGATATACAAAATCATTTATTTATCGAGGCCGGCCAATATAATGATAACTTATATGGCACCTCGGTGGCGAGTGTACGCGAGGTGGCTGAAAAGGGTAAACATTGTATTTTGGATGTGTCGGGCAATGCAATAAAACGTTTACAAGTAGCTAAATTGTATCCCATTGCTATATTTATTAAACCAAAATCTGTCGATTCTATAATGTAAGTGAATTCTCGATATTTATATATATTCAAATGGAGGAAACCTTTTTGAAATGAAAATATCGTTAACATAGGGAGATGAATCGTCGCATGACAGAGGAACAGGCGAAGAAAACTTATGAAAGAGCGATTAAAATGGAACAGGAATTCGGAGAATATTTTACTGGTAAGTCGAACGCGCAGACAGCAAAGCGCATCGCGCATTAAATCGTTAATTTCATTTTCTTCTTCTTCTTCTTCTTCCCTGATAAGAGAACTTTAATAAGTTTCTTCACTCTCAGCCCGATAAAAAACATATGAAGGATATTATATTTCATTTGTATGAACAGACCACAGCTTTAATAGGCTTCTCTATAAACATCTATTCGATATTCGATAGAAATGTAATAATAATCCAAGATGATTTAATTATTTATACGAGGGAGTTTAAGAGTCCACTGCGCGACAAATGAAGAACACACCAAATTCTTCTTCTTTACCAGAAGAAGAAATTTTTTGAGCAGAAGCAGAATTTAATTATTAACGACAGCTGTTGTAATAGGTTTTCTAAAAGGTCTTCACTGTTCAATTGCCAAAATTGTGCATTGGAAAATAATATTAATGCATAATATTGTTTAACGGCTTTTTTTATGCTTTTGCGGCAGCAACATCACTCTCTCGATTATTTCATAAGAATTTGTGTTGTTTCACATGGCTCGCCTCAAAGACGCAAATGGCTGTCTGACTTATTCGGATGATACGCCAAACTCTCTTCTCACATTTTAAAATATCGTGTAGAATGAGAAAACTGTAAATGTTTTTCGAAAAAATCGTGCAAAAATAGTATTAACGAAATCCGTTACACGTAATAATAAACTAAACATCATTCAATTTCATTACAAAGAGCATAGTAAAATTAGTATACAGTGAAAATTCGGTTCATAATTGCAAACAACTTAGGCAAATTAAAGTTGAAATTAGGAATAAAAATCAATTTGCCAACTTGCTATTCATCGATACTTGATGAGAAGCATGCCCCTTTATTACGAAGCGGATTGAAAATGATATCATCAATAGATATGTCAGATATTTCTAGCACAATTTTCGGATTTAATTGTCTGTATGCACTGAATATCTCAACAACACTAAATTGAAAAGTGTTATTTTAGGGCGAGGAAGGTCAAAATCATCAATAGCACATAATAATACATAAGTGACAGTGCGTTACTTACGTAATCGCGCAGCTTTTGTATCTTTATTGCAATGAAAATTTTGTACTGCGCTATCATATCTCAGTTCGGGAATGGAAAATCGATGAGTTTTTACGAGAATAGCCGCTTTACTAACTTCATAGATAAGTCATCGAATAGCAGCTTACGTAGCTTATGTAGCTTTGCATAGTCTTTTAAAATTGAGTTTGTATGTGCGAATGTATGCGACGTACAGAAAGGCTCAAGATAGGTTAATCTTTTATTCTATCAATCGATTTAATATCATTTTCTGCAGCGATTTAAGCTTTTTCTGTCCATCTGTCCGCTTTGTTTTCTTGTGTTTTTACTCTGAAGTCGTATTATTTGATATATTTTGATACAATCTGCTGGTACACTGACATGTTTTGACCCAATGATGAATGCTATTGAAATTGAGTTCGGGATTCGGGGACTTGATGGCATCTGATGTGCCACCTTATTTTGAAAAGTCGTTATATGAATAACTATAGGATGACTATATAGGGCTTTTTACAAATTGTACGAAATTTTTTATCAGGAATTATTTTTACTATAAGTAAAATAATGTAGATTTCTTTAATATTTATCGCTTTGTTTAATAATTTTTTTTTTTTTTTTCGTGATTAACTTTAGGTGTTGTACAAGGTGATACGATCGAAGAAATCTATAGTAAAGTTAAAATCATGATTTGGTCACAATCTGGTCCAACTATTTGGGTGCCATCTAAAGAATCTCTATGACCAACCGCCACTACGACTTGGACACTGCCACCTCGAGTACGTTGTCGACCAGTCTCGCGATCAACGATACATCATCAAACACCCCATCATTAGCATTAGTAAATCGAACAATCGCGCTAGTAACTATTTCCATAAAACGTACATTTTTCTTCTTGTCGTTCCCTATCATTATTCTCTCGCCCTTTCTCTCTCTCTTTCTTTCTTTCTTTCTCTCTCTACCTACTACCACTAATAACTAATCATTAAATTTTTTCCCCTATTTCGTCATTCTCGGAGCTATTTGGTAAAAATAATTATCCAAGAACGAAAACAAAACAAAAAAAAAAAAAACAAAAAAAAAAACCAAACAAAACAAGGAAAAAAAAGAACGTTTCAAATTGCGAAATACTAAATGTAGATAAAGAAAAAAAAAAAAAAAAAGAAAAAAGATTTACAACATATACATACATATTTATAACGTCAACGTTTTGTGATGACGGCATTTGTTGTTAAATTATTTGATCTTAGTCAATCAACCCTTCCTTTCCCACCCCCTTTTAACTTAACGATGTTTTTATTAATATTATTAATATTGATTTAATAATTTGTTGATAAATCTCTCGAATACCGCTCTAAGGTGGGACATAATATGAAAAAAAAAAAAAAAAAAGTACTAGAAAAAAAATGAAACAACGTACTCTGTTTGCAGTTTCCTATAAGTATTGTTGGGTGCTGGGTAAAAACTAAAAATTAAAAAACTAACCCGGCTATAAGAATTACACAAATAGAAACAGATAAACAATAATGGACACACACTCACACACACACGCACACATACGCAAATACACACAGAGTTAATAAATAAATACACAGAGTGAAGGAGACGTAGAGCCTAATATTTAAAGCCTTAAAGATAGTGGCAAATGGTTACAAAATAAAAATAACAGAAACAAAAAAAAAAAAAAACAAGTAAATGAAGAAGATTTCAAAATAATAATAATAATAATAAAAGAAAAACAATAAATAAATAAATAAAATGCAAACCTTTGAATACGCAACGGAGAAAAGAAAACAATATCTTACACTTCTCCTAAGTGATTTCTAGTTATTCTAGAAATTATATATAAAAAGAAAGAAAAAATCACAACAATTTTGTTATGCTAGATTTAGTTATATAATAATTTAATAATTTCGTATCGTTTATACCCTTCAACTCGAACTTCATTCGTTCATTTTTTCTCCCCAGCCTCTCTCTTTCTCTCTCTCTCTCTCTCTCTCTCTCCCTCTGTGTCTCTCTTTCCTTATTTCAGACGAATTTTTAATGGTTTTAAAGTTATTATCTTATTTGAGCATAACACGATCAATAAAAGGAATATGTAAAAAGTTCTCAAGATACTAACTACTACATATATAAAATAAATTTCCTATATATTTATGACAATTACGTACGTACATCAGTCAGTCACATATTTATAAACAAAAAATGTTTTACTTCATTTGTATTTCTTATTTTTATACACTTATCGTTTCTGACAATATATTATATATCTTACATATATATATATATATATATATATATATATATATATGCATAATTAACACTAGTTTTAGTTTTAATAAAACCCCTCGATTTATACGTAGAAGGGTAAATAGAAACAAACACAAAAGAAAGAAAAGAAGACGTAATAAAACTAATAATTACGCAAACAAAAGCAAAAAAGAAATCTTAGCTAAATTTCTTATATATTAAAAAGAAAATCATACAAATTGTGTATTATCAATGTTATTAAATAATTTTTTTTTTTTTTTTCTAACCACAACGATGAGTAAAATTCATAAAAACAAAAAAAAAAAAAAACAAAAAAAAAAAAACAAAACAAAATACAATAACAACAAAATTCTCTTAAAAAAAAATTACTCCGTTTATTTCTTTTTTTAATTTCTCGCCAGAAAAAAGGAAATTCGTAAAATTAGTCTAGAACAACTGCTATGAGAAAAAGAAAAAAAAATGAAAGAAGATTAATTTTAATAAAAAGTAAAAACCAATAATTTCTTTTTCTTAGTATTTCATCCCTTATATATGTAATTTAAAGTATTAAAAGTAAAAAAGAAGGAATGTTTTTTAAATTGTTAATAAATTTTTTTTTTTTTTTTCTTGCCACCTTAAGCATTAGAAATATTGAAATTGTAGTTTGTTATATCCGTTAAACTTGAAAAATAAGAAGAAGAAAATATATATATATTTTTTTTATTGCTCTTGCAATTCAATTAGACAGTAAAAAAACGATTGAAGGTTGACTTTTTACTCTTCACCACCTGATATATATGATATGAGAGATGTTTATATTTTACAAAAAAACCCTTCATTATTAGAAACAGGGATATACTAGATTTATCCTTTCATTCGTAATATGCAAAAAAGGTCCTAGACTTTTTTGTTTCTCAGCATAAGTAAGGTCTTGATCTTAAAAAAAAGATGATAATTAATGAAATACATAACAGTTAATAAGACTTTGAAGAAATCTTCAGAAATCCTCAACCCTATCAAATTCTGAATTGACCATACGTCTATCCATCCCTCTGCTGCATCGCCATATGTTAAATATCCTTCCGGTGGCAAAAATTACGATATCGGCTTCAAAAATGCTAGAAGTTCTTGTACGCGGCGAGAACGGTCAAAGAGCACGCTTAAATAAATTGGGAACTTCTCTATTTTTAAAAGCAAAAAATTGCATTTTCTACTCATTACTCATATCTTGAAATGGGTAGAGCGCTACGAATTTCCACATATTATGTATTTTATGGGTGATTCCACAATATCTGCATAAAAAACAGCCTAACCAATCCAATAATATAGGGTATCAAAATTTCTTTTTCAGGAAAATGCCGATGGGTATAACAGATGCGGTACCGACCGAATTATTTATTATAGTAAATTTGTGCGGATGTATGCACCACACAGAAGGACTTGAGATAGACTTGCCTCTTATTATAGTGATCGATAGCTTGTCTATCCATCTGTCCGTTTTGTTTTCTTGTGTTTAATCTACACGCCGCCATTTTTGAAATATTTTAATCAAGTATGGTACACTCACAGATTTTGGCGCAAAGACAAACACTATTCAAAATGCTTCGGATTGGATCACTTTTTCGACCGCTTCCCATCCAACATATTATATTGAAATATCGTGATATAAACAACTGTAGGATGGTGTAGGATGATTATGTAATAGTGTTCATTTTTGCTTTTAAATTAACATCAAAAAGAGCAACAAAGATACTACCTTACATTATTCAATGAATATGGAACGGGATTTACAGGCAAAGTAAACTATTTAAAGGTTAATTGTGGGCATGCATGAAAGAAAGATCGTTCTGACGAATATCTAGATTAAAATTTTTTTTTTCGAAAGGTAAAAAATCAACTGCCGAATTTCTCCTCTATTTATTATTGTTTTTTCAATTGACTCACATTGACAGCACTAAATATATGCCATCGATACCCCGAAAGTTAGGCATTGTAAAAATAAAAAAAAAAATATATATATATATATTTCAAGGTCAATTTTTTTAAACATTACACGCTTTTTAAGCCCGAAAGCTGCGGACTCAAGTTCACTTACTCGGTTCTTCTAGCGCTAAGTATAAAAGTGGTGTAGGGTAAATGTTAAAGTCGGCATATGCAACGACTTTATTTTTTAAATATTCTTTCACATACCTAAAAATCGTTAATGATATATTAAAATAAGAAATTCGTTATTAGCGCGAAACGAATTTTAAATACCCACCAGCTCAAACAAAAAAAATAAAGCAAAATTGCACCTACAAGACGTGTCTGTCGACTGTCCTATGGATACGATTTTCACAGCATATTTCCAATCAAACTGTTTACATCGTTTCGATCTGTTATAGACTGTAAGCTATTAACGACCAAAAAAAAAAAAAAACGTGATATTCCTAAATTGGTCCACGGATCAATTAATATTTTAGCTATTATGTTAGTAACACCTCCCTGTTTACCATCTCATCAATTTGGTCAACTGCCATATGGATTTAGTTAAACTTCCTTTCACAGCTTTCTAGAGAGAGAGAGCTATGTTTATCTGCGTCTACGTATTGAATCGACTAAGAATATTCGAATCTGAGAAAAAGAAGTATACAGTTGTTCTACAAATCTTCGACGCTTATTTCAAGATCTTACGAAATAACGGAATTATATGATGGTGGGTGGACATTAAAAACAAAAAAAAATTAAGTGCTAAATAGGAATTGTAAAGAATGTAACTAAAAAAAAAAAAAAAAAAAAAAAAAAAATATCAATAAATAATTATAATCGATTATACAGTAAATCCCGGCCTTGAATCCAAACAAGAATACAGCAACAAATAAGAACGCATTTATTAAGCGTTATTTTATAGTAATCAATAATGTGCCTTTTTTAATTTGTCCTGAGTCACAAAACATACACTCAACTAATACAAAAATCCCTATATTTCTCTTTTATTAACAAAGGAACAAAGAAACAAACACAAAATCTCATAAACATTAGCTTGAAATAAAAGTCGTTGTTTTTTTTTTTTTTTTTTTGTTTAACACAAACAATTAAAGTCTTGTTCTGGCTTTACTTTTTAACACTACTAAATATCTAAATAAGAAAATTCTTTCGAAGGTAATCATTTGATTAGATCGACTGTTCCTCTTCACTCAGAGCAAAAAAAGAGAAAGTGAACGAACAGTAACTATAACATGAGAATGTACTGATCTTACGTAATGAACTAAAAAAATGAATTCGCTTTATATTCAAAATGCCATAATAATTTAAAAGAGGAAATCCTCTGCTATTAAGTCAAGCCAGAACACCTCGCTCAAGCATGCGTTAAAATAATATATTCTTTTTACTTATTGATATAAAGTTATTAAGGAGAGAAAATGTTGTCACTCTTTTAAATAAATATCACTCTTCTTCTTCTTCTTTTTTTTTTTTTTAAATATGTTAATGTTTTGTTATTGTGTGTGTATTAATAAATTTCCATTACTCTTTTTACTTGGTAGGAATTACTGAAAAAGAGTTTCGTCCCCTTTTTTTATTGTTTACAACCTATCTATCTGGTTTGGTAAATATAGTTTGGATAATATAAAAACTATTAAGCCTAATAATAAGGATAGCATTAATTTTCGATGCTTGTGAGCCTATATTAACGTTTGATCGCTTAAGGACTTGTAACTTTTTTAAAACTATCCACAATATCGGAAATTACGAAAAAAATGTTAGTTCATATAAATGCAAGTCAAGCCTCTGTTCAATTCAAGTACACTAGGGCGAAAAACTTTTATAAATAAAAATTTTGTGAAATTTATTTTATAAAATTAAAAAAAAAAAGAAACGTCTCCTTTGACCCTCAGATTGTCATACATTATGTATCCTAAATATATATACAGTATATAATAAATACATATATATACGCAAACCCAACTTTTTTTTACACGATAGATATGTTCCTTAGAAAATCGTACAAAAAAGATTATATGAGAAAACATGCGCGACATATGGTAAATTTGTAGATATGTTCCACAAAAAACCGTGTAAAAAAAGTAATAATAAAATCCATATTTATAAAACAAGAACAATTCATTTTTATCAGAAAAAAAAAAATCGAACTTAGTGTACAGTCAAAATTCATTCCGCATAAAAAAATTTAAATTGATTTTAATTGATAACACAAGCGTGCACGTTTATTACAGACTGGATCAGAAATGCTATCATCAGGAGATATGTCACCTGTGCCTAACCCAACTCTCAAGTTTGACTCAAATAAAGAAATGCCTTCATTATCAAGGGCCAGTGTTGAATTCTTTTGTTGCTGTAAAGTCTGTTATTAGCAGCTCTTCTTTTTTGGTTTCTTAAATTTCAAAATTCAAATTAAAAAAAATATTTTTTGGAATTCTTGTAAAAAAAGAGTATTTTTTCAAATTGGTAAACTTAGTTATTTCAAAATCTGGTAAAAAAAAAACCGTGTAAAAAAATTGGGTGTATACATATATAATAACATTTCCAAATATGTCAAGTCTTACAATAGAATGTGAAGTTTTTCGACTCTAAAACCAGTTTATATGAATTTGAACCGGATAAATGAGTTGAATATGCAACCGCACAATCTTTTGTGATGCGCAAGATTTTTTCTGAGAAGATGCTTGTAGATTAGTTGGGTAAAAAAAAAAGAAAATCAATTCCGTTGTGTTTTCTAGCTTCGTTAAAATATATATTAGATCACTTATATATGTGAGCGAAAAAAAGGAGAAAACGAAAGCAACGAAACTTCTTCAAATTTCCTTTCTTATTAAACGATAAGAAGTACAGAGTAAGATATATGTTTCATTTCAGAAGTGTAAACGAAAATTGCTCACTTTACGATTTATGACTAACGAATCCTTACTAATTGTTATATCGACTATCAAGGAATGCTTTCAGGTACGGCCCTTTAAAAACCTATAAATGCTCATTAAACTCTCGATCAAGTTTATCCATGCACCCCTGTGAGTCTGTCTCTGCCTTATGTTATTGGAGCGTTTACGGTCGCTACAATTGAAGTGCAAACTTGAATCTCGAAGTATATTCTTGCTAACACACATAAACTAACTAAACATATTTGATTGAAGGATAACTAACGCTCACCCTCACTTAAAAGTACATGATCAAAATATTAATCCATAATTTCAGGCTTACTGGAGACAGCCAATTATTGAAGGTAGTGCAGTAAAACTCGGCACAGAATTTCACCTTTCTTTCACAGGATTTATACAATTTCCTTTCTCTCTCTCTTTCTTCCTTACTAAGTAAAGTTTTTTTATTATGTTGAAAATAATAATTGGTTTTCGTTTGTGTGAAAACGGCATAAATGCATTCTATAATTTTTTTTTTTTTTTTATGAAAATTTATATAAAACCGTTTACAAGAAAAATATTAATTGCTATCACAAACTTTGTTTATAGATGCTTATTGAAATCAAATATTACATAGGTTTTACAATGTTTCCTTTCTCTCCATTTGTTCATAGTGTACTTACTTACACGAAAAGTAACGATTTGCCTTGATTTGTTTAGAAAACACATATATGCAGTTCATAACGAAGTAGATATTTTCTTTTATATAAACTGCAATCAAGCGTGTTGTCAAATCAAGTACAGTAGGAGAAAAGATCGTTTGCAGACACGTTTACGTAATTTGATCGTTAATTATATGAACGTAAAAAATAAAATAAAATAATAATTAAAAATAATATGCAATCGATTTTTTGAAAATTTCTTTGAAAATTACTCCTAATAAAAAACAAATAAAAAAAATCGAAATATATTTTACCATAATTTAAGTTAAAGAATGCATTAGCTTAATTCTAACATTATAAATAGAATAAAAAATACATAAAAAAACAATAATAAATAAATACAATCTGTTCATTCGAAAAGATCAGTAATCTAAAGAAAAAATCATAAAATATATAAAATATATATAAAACTATAAAAAAACATTATATTTGTTCATCCAAACATTTAAAATAAAAAGAAAGAATGTAAAAAAAAAAAAAACAATTGCATTTTCATTGATGAAATTTATCTTAACTAGTCATCAAGAACCCAACCGGCTTTTCTGTATTTAAGGCTTTTATTCACTCATAAATATGAAACAAATTCTCGGCATGTTATTTAAAATTCTTTTATTTTTTATATAAATTTTGATCCGCTATGGTTCCTACAGTCTACAAAAGTTCATGAATGTGTATGTATGTGTGTTTGTGTCTGTTATATGTGATAAGGAGATTAGTAGACAGGATCATAAATTTTATATGTGAAAAAATCAAAGTTACATATAACGTAAATATGAGCAAGTTAAGATTACATTTTTTAGAGTTAAGTTAAAAAAATTATACATTCTCAACTTTATAAATAACAAGTTAGCGAAAAACATCTTTAAGAAATAATTTTGTAATACTTAAAAAAACAATCTCCCATTTCAACAGTAAATACACAAAATAATACAAAAGAAAACAAAAAGAATTTAATAATAAAAAGCTACATTCGCCTTATGGCGAATCTCAGATACCCGTTACCTCAAACAATTTCATTATTTTTTAATTTTAAAAATTCAATTACTAAAGCTTTAGCATTTTATTACATATGCTGGAGAGATGCCCTCTCCCTAAGTTATGCATGTTTGTACTATATTTCGGGCTGACAATTGCCATTAATGATGAATTATTGTTAAAAATGTATTGAAAAAATCAATCTATCCTCTCATGTGATTTTCTAGAATCTAGTCAGAAATGCCAAAAAGATGCAAACTGACTTGGCAACATTTATATTGGATATAGGACTTCTGATGTCTATTTCTGCATACAACAGACGGAGTGACAAAGTGACTGCGGCGATGGGTATAAAAAAAAAGTATTAATAGAAAATTCATAAGTATCAATTAAAAAAAAAAAAAAGTTAATTACTAAAAATTATTCAACGCTAATCTTTCTCTTGAGATTGCAATAAAGCCTTAATCTCCTGAAATTTATGCATGTAGTCCACACTGCTCTCACTTATAACCGAAAGATTTGAAGACGGGTCCTGCGTAAAATCGGGGAAAATAAACAAGTTTGTAAGCGAAACATGTAATCAATCAAAAAAACGTAAAGTACTTACTAATATATCACGACTTGCATTGATTTCATCCAAATGGCCTAACAAACTAGTTAGAGAGAAATCGTTAAGATTCTCCTCCAACCAGCGAGAGTTTGAAGTGGACTCACGTAACAATTGCATAGGACTTAAAGCATTTAAAAAGCTTGTATCTAAAATTCAAAAGATAAGAATAAGCGAAATTTAGCTTTCACAAAAAAAAAAAAATAATAATACTCAACATGCTTTTATATTGAACCTTATACACGCCCATCACACCTTATCAATATATATACAATTTAACTAAAGAGATTATAGTTTATCAAAAGTTTACAATGTGAACACTACATGCTGTGCAGGCTACGATGTAATCGTAAAAATTTCTTTTGTAATGCCTTCCTCGCTAAATTTTGTTCTACATTTCTTAGGTTGGCACCTCGATACGCAACCGATCTTATCGATATCAATTTTTGTAGACTTCTAAAACATATGTCTCGAAAACATATAAATTGATAATACGGCACGCCCAATTCCTATAAGCTAATCAGTTAATCCATATCATTACCAGTGCTATCACGTCTATTCGCGCGTTTTATTTATAAGTGAACAGCAAGAAGCGCATACATCTGTGCAAATCTTCTCGAAAGACATTCAGTTGTTCACTCTTCGTTGTACGATTAATAAACAATAAACCGCAAACAGGCGCTAGCACATGTAAAAAATATTTAAAAATGCTTAAACGTTATTTAAATGTTTATAATTTTGTAGTGGACGTCAAAAGCAGCGAAAACAAATTTTATATCGTTTTATGACGTTTTCAGGGCCAGGCAGACCGACACGACTAAATCGAATATTAGTTTTCGAGTCAATCATATCAATTGCGCCCTCTACATATATATATATATATATATATATATACATATATACAGGGCGTTGTCCTTGAAATGCACCTCTCTGGCTTGCAAATTTAGAAAAAAAGACATGCATCGCCGGCAGGGTAATAACAACATCAGCTTACTTGAACATTCATCGAAAGCATTATTGGCTGTTGCAGATCCATTGGCATTGGTTGTTAAATCTTGCCCGTTTGTTATATTCTCAGCTTCTTGTAAGCAATCTTGCAATCTTGCTCCCAAATCATTAACGTCCAGACTCGTTTCATCTGAGATTGGTGACGCAGATGATTCCTTTCTACTAACTGCATCATTATTATCATCATTAAGGTTTTCAGGGCAATCGATTTGCTCAAGTTGTATATCTTCCTTCTCTTGAGAAATTTGCGTTATATCACATTTTCGAGTTTCTATTGGATGAGCAGCGTTATTACCGCTGCCGATATTGCTGTTTGCAGTACTATTAGTAGGCAATAAAAGTCTTTGAACTAATACTTTTTGGCGTGTAAGCTAAAAAATAGAAGAAAGTTCGATTAAAGTTTGCTTCTTATTGGCATTTTCGAACGCTTACATTTGTTAGTTGTTTCATCGGGTCTATTGATGGCCTTCGTATCGGTACTAGGGGAGGTTTGAATGTGTTATGATTATCTGAGCCGCTCGCGCAGCTATTGGTGGGGTAATTATATATTTTATTTGCCAGAAACGTACGATTACCCAATTCACGTTCAATCTAGAAGAAAAGAGAAAAAGGTATATATGCTCAATTTTTTTTGAAATTAGTTAACAATACTTACCCTACTTTTCGTATTTACATTTCGTTCACATTGACACTGACGCTTTCGCAGGCGTTCACTGAGATTAGCTATAAGCAACAAATGCTTTAGTTTATTGCTTAACGTAGAACTATTTAAATTATTGATTATTTGGCAATCTTCGTTGTCTCTCAAGCCATTCGGCTTCACACTCGTTAAGGCACAGTCGGCCAAATCGGTAATAGTATTTAAACTACTACATGTATTTAGCGTGGCAAATGAATTTCGTGTGTTTTCGCTGGGCCAATAATAGTCCAACTCGAGTTTAGAATCATGACCCAAAACTACATACAAATCGCCTATAGTTATATCGCTCGCCGTCGAAATAGTCCAACCACTTCTTATACGCTGTATTACTTCTTCGTTTAGCAAAGGTTTAAAGATTGATCTAGAACTCTTCGTGTTCATCGGACGTTTGTTACGTCCAACAGCGTTAGCAGAATGCGCCAGCGATGCATCTTTCATTTCACAATTAGGTTTATTCGTCATTTCATTTACCGCAGAGTCTTCTTTATTGCTTTGCATATCTAGGGAATCGGAGAGTAGTTCTTGGATTTCATCACTTAATTCATCACCGCTGCTTTCGTTTTTATGTTGCAATAAGTCAACATCTGCCAGCAATTCGTCCCCACTTAATAAAGGTGTTTCGTAACCATTATTTAGATCGTTTGGCTTTTGCCTTTTAAGCTGAGAATCCGGTGATCGCTTTTCAGAACCACTTTCGGTGCGTATTCGTTTAGGGTTCGTTAAGATAGAAAGAGCTGCTCCAGAGCTCGCAAGGGCGAGAGCGCTGGAATTTGTCCGCTCACTATTCAAGGTAATGCCTTTAACTTTTACGCCTATACGTTCCTCATAGGCCGTCAAACAGATATTAACGCTGCTTAAATATTCTGTTATACTTAGTAACGGTCGGTGTATTGTTATCCCCGGTTTGGGTAGAAAGCAGATTTCTGGCTCCACATAGCCCAATTCAACGGCAGCTCCACTTGAAACTTGACTATCGCCGTTATTCGTACATAATTTTGCTTCCTCAGCTATTTTCGTTTCATTGCTACGCCATTTATATTGAAAAGCTTTGATAAAGTTTACCAATTTTTTATGCAAGGGAACGGTAGTGCGACATCTAGGATTTTGAGCAATTGCTTGCACGCGACAAAATGCTTCCATATTGGCAGGACTTATAATAACCTCAATTTTTGAAGGCAGCTTGATGTCTTCCAGAGAATCTACGCAAGAAATTTTAAGTAAAATTGTTAAAGAAAAAATGAATGAAAGAAATGAAGTGAAAGATCCTTTAGACATACCATCCAATTGATTTAATCTGCGTAACGCTTTACATGAGGGAGTTTTTATGCGTATATTTTTACCCTTGGATCTAACGGTGATATGTCCATGATATACCAGATTTCTTAGCTTCATAAAATGCTTGTCAGTAACAAATTGCAATTTACGACGCATTTCACCATAATTAATAAGAGCATATAATTCCTGGACTGGTTTACGCACTTCTACATCATCAATATAAATATAAGTTTAATATTTTTTGAATTCTTAATCATCTGCATATACTACTTGCCTTCCGAAAAACGAATATATTTACAAATTTTATGATATGTTTGGTAATAGTGCTGGCGAACTTGATCCTTTGATTTACAGCTAATATTTGTAGCAGGGTTGCGTCGTTTCAATTTTGTGTTTATGTAGCTACCAATCGCCTCGAAATCTTTCCCAAATTCATTGAGAGCGTCAAAAAAATAATTACGTTCTAGATTATTCCAAGATGGTTTATTGGCGCGCACTTGTGACGGCGTCTTTTGCAAGACTGTACGTTCATCTTTGCGTGAGGGGGCTGTTTCTCGTTCATTAGGTGGTGGAGTACCAGGCCTAGTTTGTTGATCTTGTTTCATCTTCTGTATAACTCTAGCACTAGTACGTGTACCCAAACAGTTGTGTGTGATTACTGAACCCAATAACTCCTCTGCCTCATACTTAATACAATCAAATAAAAGACACGAAACATGTAAATTTTTTTAATGGACAAACAAACCAAGCAACGATAGGAACTCACCTCCGATTTAGTTTTATAATCGCTTTTATTTAAAATTTTCTCTTCTTTACCACGCAACGATGTCTTGACATTAATGCCTGCACCTGAAGCCTCTTCTCCTGATTCCAACAATTGATGTTGTTTACTAAGTTTGTTAATAGCAACGTCATTTCTCCCACCATCCTCTTCAATACTTATGCATAATAATTGTTCATCACTTCGCGGAAATTTATCCATTTGTTATTAATTTTTATGCAATATTTATAAATGTACGGAATTGAAAAATATTGCTTTATAATTTTTTAGACTTTTTTCCGCTTTGAATTGATTGCAAAACATCTATAATCGCTAAAAGAACTTAATTTCAATCAAAAAATTCCTTTGTAAAGATGGCTGTCTCATTATTTAATTTTCTGGCCACTTTTTATATTACCGCAACATTTCAAAATAATTAAAATTTGTATGAATTTAGCTTTTCATTTTCTATTCTAATTTGAATGAAACCCCCACCAATGCTTATGTTTTCGTTTCATTCAAAACTTAAATAATTTTGGCACTTGAAAGAAAAAATTTTACAATTAAAAGTTGTTTCTTTTTTTGTTTTGATATAAACAGAGTTGCCAAAATCCGTTGTGCAACCTTTAGCATTTCTGCGAATTTGAACTGATAGACATCAAATTAACATCAAATTAACTTAACTATATTTTCTTCTAAATTTCTTTGTACTTTATAAACCCCTTATCAAATAACTTCATGCAGTAGAAAAACTATTTAAAGACAGTTGTACTTAAGTGGCAAACAGAATTCTTTAAAACAGGGATAAAATAAGATTTTAGTTAATAAAAGAGCCGATAGCCTGTGCTGCTAGTGCTCAATGTCTTTTTTTTTAGTCTAAGAATTTATTGTATTAGTCTAAAATTATAATAATAATAATAATAATAATAATAGTTAATAAAAACTTAGGATTTACCAAAAAGAAAGAGCTTTAAAAAAGAATAATGACTAAATCCTTTCTACTATTCGTACAGATCAAGAATACATATATTCGAAGATTGCTATACTGAGCAAAATCCAAAGCATTCAATTTATTGGGTAAAAGAGTAGGCAACTTGCATCGAATGCTATTTTTAATGTGGGTTATCTAAAAGAGAGTGTATATGAAATCCTTTTTGATATAGGATACCGCAAGCACTCAGATCATGCAGAATAAATTGCTAACATTCAATATTTTGTCAATTAAATGGTAGAAAATGTTAAATATTGCAATGAAATGTACATTAAGCGAGCGACCCGAGTCGCGTGCTAAAATCAAAAACTTACGTACACAGCTGATAAAGTAAGATGAGGGTGAAGTCGGCCAAATTTCGTAAAACTTATGTGGAAAGCAAAGGAGTCTCCGATATTTTTCTTCAATGTCAAAATAAAAACAATTCCAAAGAAGTTTTATTGTTTTTTAGAGCAACTACCAATAAAATTAAATCATGGCCAAATAGAACTAGACGGTGTAGTTCACAATACAGGTTGATGAAAGTATTTTTTTTATAGCTTTTAAAAATGGGATTTCATTAACAAAGTCTGCAAAAATTCAAAAATGAAAAGTGTATAAAAGGCCAAATGTTCTGAAAAGATTTGTATGTAAAGATTTTCGTCGCAAATGGCTTTGAATCTGATCATGTTATATACGCAGCTTTAACTAATAATTTTTCGTTTGGTGCACTTTCCCCCTTTATTTGTTGTTTTTTGTTATTGAGTGTTCTAATATAAAAAGATTTACGAATGATGGGTACATTTAAAAAACAAAACTTTTCAATTCTCATATTCCCACGAAAATAGTAGGTATTGATGCTGGTAATACCTTTTAACGGTAATAATTAGAATTGAATATTTTTATTTTTACAACAAGCAATAAACAATGATACTGATCATGTATCTTCTAGTTAACTAACTTTCATTTAAAAAACGTACCTTGAAAACCATTTAGCAGAGAGTTACGTATGATTTTTCCCATTCAAAACTGACGTTAGTTTGTTTACAATGTTACAATGAACAATAAAATCATACAAACGTAAATGAAAATAAAATTAGGTAAAATTTTTGACGAATCGGATGCAGCGAAATAGGAAGGACTTTACAAAAAAATGGTGGGATTGCGAAAAGTAAGCTCGCGGAGATTATGGTAACATTTTCTTTGCATATATATTTTTTTACCATTCTTTTGGCTTTAGACGGACGACAAATACAAGGCAAAAAGAAAATTTATCGCCAACAAATTGCGACGAAGCTTTGTATGTATTTGACGCGCCACATAAAGCTGTTGAAATTTTTGAGGAGTTGCGGTCAGATAGTGGAACACAGTCGTGATTGTAACAGTAATGTAAAAAGTTTGGTTTATTTTCTAATTGTTTTTTTATGTATGTTTAGAAGCCCTTACATAATAGATTGCGAGGCGTAACATGAACGTTTATAAATTCTCACTATCTGGTTTAGGGCCGCACTTAAGTGCCCCTTGAACTATAGAAGAATATATAGTGGTTTAAAATGAAATCATTTCTTTTCTTCTGAAACTAAGACCCAGCTTTTTAACTTTCACAAAATCGGATTAATTCATTAAACTGTTTATTTCATTACAATTCAATTTGAAAGTGCAAAAGAAATGCCGCCTCTTATTTCTTCACCAATTCGCGCCAGCTGGCAGATCTCTAGTGAAACGTCTACACCGTCGCCAAAATAAGTGTGCCTTGATTCAGGCAATCAAAAGCCTACCAATTTCATGGGACCGTAATATATCGATGATCGTTTATGGTATAACAACGTGTCGCAAGAAGAAGAAAAGCACAACCCGAAGTTAGCTACCACCAAGAATACCAAATGTCGTATAAGCGCAACCCTTTGTATTGACATTAAAATCTCTACGAGTCCATTCCGGGCAAAGGTTGCCTTCCAGTTTTTTTATCGTTTTCTGATACAACAATGGAAAAGCTGCCTTAAGTGAGAATAGCTAGCAGCCAGCCATTAACACCTTTTTCCTTTTGTTCTGCTTAGTGAAATGGATTAGGTCTATTGGCGATAGGACCAATATATCTAGTAGAGTGATGAGTTTCTATTAGTTTTTGCTTCTTTGAGCTATTTTAATGATAACGGCAGTAGTTTACGACGAATGGAAAGATTGATGATTCACAATTGATTACAAATTTTGGTGAATTAAGAGTGTTAATTATAAAATTAAAGTAAAAGGCAAAACAAGAATTAATTTACTTACCTTTCAAAATTTTAAAGTTTCTGTTTTCGCTCAGGTGTTTGTAAGGGAACAATTTTGTTTGCAATTTGTTTTACTTTCAATAACCAGTTTTTTACTCTTATAAATATAATTCTGAGAAACGTATACTAACTTGGATAAACCAATATTTACGCAAAGGGTAAACAATTTTGCTTGTAGGTGTTTTGATAGTTTTGAGAGAGAGGTTCTCTCAAGTCTTCTGCATATATATAGCAATAAAAGTCGAAACACCAAAATGAAAGTTAGTTAACGCTATACATAATCAGTGCCAATGTAATCGTTTCTTTGAAGCAAAGAAAGCAGAGCAATTAAATTTATTTTTTTCGATGTTATACTCCATGTACATCAATCCCAGTAGAGGACAGTTTAAGCATTTATATATGTATGTAACCAAGAAGGATTTGAGGTGGATCGATCTTTCAAAGTGTTAATCGATTTGGAATCAGTTTTTGAGTCTATATCATTTTTAATTTATTATTTTGACCTCTCTTTGATAACAACACATATTTTTTGTGTACTATTGGCAAGTGCATTTTACGTGTAAAGCGAACATTTGTACTACGTATTCTATCTAGAGAGTGATAAAAACACATTAAGGGTTTTTTTTTTTGTCGTAATCTATCTGGATTTCATTCTCTATCGAAATGCTGCAATCCTCTATAGCAGTGTAGATAATGCTTAGTACGGATAAAAGTAATCATACCAAATCGGAGAGAAAAAACATGAGTTATTATAAGAGAAAAATCGAAGCAATGAACAACAAATCTTTATCCGTATTCCATAAAAAGTTAGACAAAAAAGAAACTCCCAAAAATTTTAAGTGCCTTAAGGTTTTGTGTATAGTCACATAAAAATGACCGAGACAAGACTTATTATTAAGTTCGCTTAAATAAAACTTTTGGTTTAACATTTTTTTACATCATTTATTTAGTGATCATATAAGTTCAGTTTTCTTTATAGAAAGTAAATTAATTTAAATTAAAATTAAAGTTAGGATTGGTGATAAGTCACAAAGTATGTTACTATTGTATCGATAAGACTAACAGCCCTATTCTGGCATTGCTATCGTTTGGCTATTATAAAATCTGTTCTTGTATTTGCCTGTCAACGTTCTTGTCATTTTGTATCAAATTTCATATTCCGAACCAAACTCTCCAACATCAAATTTGCGTTAAAGAAGAGTCTTAAGTTATGAAAAGCAGAAATTAAATGTAAAAGAACACCGCAGCTTTAAAAAATGCGGTATTACAATATTCTAACAATGTTGTCCGCTACAATCTAATGAAATGGTGTATGTTTCATACTTTATGAGTAGCAAACAAAAAAATCGGCAAGCAAAGGCGTTCACAGTTTTGAGATAAGTGATAGATATCATTTAGATTTCTGCAAACAGCTTTGATGAAAATAAAGCACCTAGAGAGCCGACTAGGAGCATTAAACCATATGTCACCAACAAATATGGGCGAATCGATGGTACTAGTACCAAATAACTTAATTAAGACGGATACACTAAGCATAAATCTACGTTTCTCAGTGACAGTAAGGATATTAGAAGCAATCTATTTTCATAAGAAGGCAGAGAGACAAGTGGGTCTCAACCCAAATAGTTAAAACAAGAATTGCTTTGAACGGATTCAATTGAATCTACATGACGCCTGCAGGAAGGAGACCACACAGCAGAAGCATACTCAAGTATTGAGCTAACTAAGCGCATGTATAACCCTGTCATAATGTAAGCATCTTTAAGCTCTTTGGATCACCTTTTACTGAAACCTAGCACGGACTTTACTTAAAGAGAGCTCAATGTGCAGATTAAAGGGTAATCTTTGGCCGTATAGAACCCCTAAATCGATGAAAGAATCTACGTTTTTCAAATTGTGTGTATCAACGAAATACTCAGTACTGAATAGCTTTCTTTTAAAGAAAGAAAGCTTGTTGCATTTTTTAGATTTAATTTTATCAAATTTTACGGGCACCATGTAACCAAATTATTTAAACCAATTTGAAGTTGATATGATTGCGATTCCAAGGAGAAGGAAGAAAACAGTTTAACATCATTAGCGAGGAGAGGTCATTAATGTATAAATTAAATAGAAAGGATCCTAAGTGGCTACCTTGGGGGACGCCAGACGTCACGGGCAAATCATCGGAGGTAAATGATCTATTGATCATCCACGGTTAATGATTTATTAGTAATTGTGCTCAGAAGGGTGTAAGTGTGTCTTACCGTATACCATGTATGGAAATACCGTTTGGTATAATATCATTAGAACAATGGTTTAATATTTTG